GGGGGGCCGCCAGCCCCTGTCATAATGTCGCAGAGCACGAGACTCTTCCCAGCGGGGGGCTGCACTCTGGGGCAGGCAAAGCTGCGGCGGGCTGCGTGCTGAACCACCAGTGTCCTGACTGAGCCAGAGCCCTCCAAGCCCCCTGCAGCGCCACTGTGCTCTGCAGCAGCTCTGCCAGCCCTGCAGTGTGGCTCCCCACTGGGAAGAGGCTAGCGCTTGGGAAAACTGTGGCAGGGCTACTGCCCGCTTCTGCTCCAGCAGCTGGGCGTTGACGGGGCCAGACACTGCCGGCACAACCCTGGGAGGCAGGGGCAGGGAGTGGGTTTATTCCCTGCTCTGCCCCCGGGGCACTGCAGCTGGGTCTGCCCGGCCCGGCCACAGCTGCCGATCAGCCTGTGCTCGGGGCCAGCCCCCTCCCGGCAGGAGGGGGCTTATTCTGCCAGACGCTACCTTAAGTGAAGACAGAGCAGCAGCTGTGGCCAGGCCAGGCAGACCTGGCTGTGGTGCCCCAGGGGCAGAGCAGGAAATAACTCCACTCCCTGCCCTACCCAGGGGCCCTGCTGGCAGTGTCTGGCCCCATCTCCACCCAGCTGCTGGAGCAAGGTGGGAGCGACTTTGACAGGAGCTGTTCCCATCACAGTTCCCCAAAGTGTGAGCCTCTTCCTAGCAGGGGGCTGCACTGTGGGACCGGCAGAGATGCAGTGCAGCATGGTGGCACTGCAGGGGGCTTGGAGGGCTCTGGCGCGCTGCAGACGCTGCCTCTGCTCTGCCTATCCCACAGCACATCCCCCCACCAGAAAGAAGCTAGTGCTCTGCGACATTCTTGGGGGCAGCAGTCCCTGTCATAAAGGCCCTGCCCCCTCCCGCTGCAGCGATGGGGCAGGAGCATGGCCACACACCGGCTGGCAGGGCCCCTTGGGAGGGGCAGGGAGGGATTATTCCCCCTCCCTCCAGTGTCTGGTGGAGAGGACAGCAGGGGGCTTATTCCCCCACAGGGAGCGAACATGGCAGCGACAGCGAGCAGACCCGGCTGCCAGTGTGGGTAGAGGGGAGACTAACCGTTTTCCCAGCCCCCCTCTGCCTCAGGTGCCATGGTGCCCTACTGCTGCCTCAGGGAGGGGGGAGCGCCCAGCAGACTCTTGCTGGTGGGAGACAGGGGGGAATTAAACCCCACTCCGGGCAGACCCCCACCCCTGCCTGTCCCTGCTCTGGCTGGGGAGCAGAGAGGCGGGGCCAGCCCTTCTGGACTGGAACAGCGAGCCCAGCCCAGAGAGTAGGGGTGTGCGAAATGGGCTGTATTCAGTTCAGATTCAGATTCGGCCTGAACTGGGGACAGTGATTCAATTCGTTGGATTCGGATCACTGTCCCGATTCGATTCGGCCAAATCCAGATCTGAAGATTTGATGCTGATTCAGATAATCAGCAATTTGGCCATAAACACAGTTTTAAATGTTTTTTCTACATACATCGAGGTACCAGGCACGGCTCGTGAACGTTGTGATGCTGGGGTGCATGGAGCATCCCACAGAAGTGCAGAGGGGCCCCCCACAGGCTTGGCAGTGGACATACTTCTGGTCCACTTCCAGGTCTGCCACCAAGCACTCAGGGGGACCCCAGATGCCTCCCCAGAGCCAGGAGGCACCAGTCACCGAGCTAGGGGCCATGGGGGGTCCCCCACACGTACTCCCCAGTGGACCCGGAAGTGCTTTTGGTCCGCTTCCAGGTCTGCTGCTGACCACGCTGGGGACCCACCCGCACTCCCATGGGATGTTCCATCCACCCCACCATCTCAGAATTCACGAGCTACCTGGTACCTTGAGGTATGTAGAAAAAAACATTTAAAGCTGTGTCTGTGTCCAAATCACTGAATCTTTCCAAATCTCTCCAAATCAATTCAGAGGGTTCTGATTCGATTTGGAGAGATTAAAGGCTCTCCTGATTCAATTCGGATTCAGAGATTCAGCTGCCGAATCGGGCAGTATCTCCGCCAAGTCAAATCAGTAACCGAAGCTTCACACAGCCCTACCAGAGCATATGCCAGGATGGTGGGGGAGTCTGGTTTAAGTTAAACCAGGAGAGGTCTGGGACAGAAATTGCATAAACCAGTTTGAGCCAAATCAGTTAAGTCTGATGCTACATTCAACCAGGTTTATCTCAAACCAGTTTCGGTCATTTTGAAACTGGTTTATGTGTACTGAATGTCTGTTCTGTTACTAGTTTAAACCAATTTCTGATCACTTAAACTGGTTTATGTGTAATGTCTGTCCCTAGCCAGGATGTCCAGTGTTCTTATACAAGAGTGCCCACAGGAACCTCGCAACAAAGGGACATTGGCCTATCCACCAGAAGTTGAAATGAACATCTTCTCTGTGCCTCTCATGCAAGCTTGCAAAGCTGTAGCATCTCTTGCCACCACACACACGCGCACACAGGCCAAGCCTGCTAAGTTCTTACCGCAAAGGTATGGTAGGGGGCAGTGGCAGCAGCTCCATGGGCCCCAGCTGCAGAGGGAAGCATGGACAATCCCGTTGAGAAGATCCCAAGAGCGCTAAGGTTGAGCCCTGGGATCAGGTTGGCTTGTTGCTAGAAATGTAGACAGAAGATGGAAACAGGAAGACACGGAATGAACAGAGGAGAAAAACCACAGAGGCAAAATACCGAGCTGACTTCTACTGTCCTGGCCAAACAGCATCAATATGGCAGGGCCTGCCCTACATTGCCTTTGGGGGGACAACAGCCTTCTCCATGGCTGCAAACCCCCCTGCAGCCATATGTGGCCTGGTCTCACTGAGGCCAGCTCTGGCTAGGGCTCTGAAGGTCTGAGGCCCCTGTAGGAAAGGGTGGAAGCAGCAAGAATAGGAGCTTACGCTGACGGCCACAATGTCATTCTCATAGGCTTCTCGCAACTTCTTCATGATTTCCACTTCAGCATTGGAGCAGGCGTCAATGTTGCCCTTCACTGTGATGGTCCGTTCAGGGTTATAAATGGTTAAATCCTGTAAACTAGCCAATTACATGAAAAAACAGTCAGCGAACCCTCACTCAACCCAAACAACAGAAAGAACAAGCAGCTTTTGTCATCCCGCTAGGACCAAAAGAAGTTGCTCTGTTGAGCCCTCTCCTCTCAGCAGCTATGGAGAGCCATACCCTACAGACCCCAGTCTGCCCCTCTGGCCAGTGCTGCTGGCCTTCTGTGTAAGGCAGCACATGTGGGAACAAGTGATTGGAGCTATTTGTCCATTCCAAATCTTCCCAACACATCCCTGCCATGGCTCTTCCTAAAAAGGAGAGCAAAAAGCCCAGGACTGCATCAAGCCACTGCAGCCAGCCAGTAGCCAACCTCCAGGAGCTCTCTGCTGGGCACCTCAGCACCCACCAGGATATCGGCACTTACGGAGAGATGGTGATCTTGGTCCCCGTGTCTTGCTCAATTTTCTTTAGGTTTCGTCCTTCTTTGCCAATCAGTCTCCCAACCAAGCTGTTGTGGGCTAAGATTTTCAAGGGAATCTCTTCAGCTCTAAGAGAAACACAAGGCATTCAGTGTTATGTTGCATGTTCTTTTCACTCAGCATGCGAGGGGCAGGGCCCCCCAACCCCTTAGCTCTGGCACCTCAGCATCCTTCAGGTTCAGTTTTCCTCTGGATTTTACCCAGCCCTCCCTCTTCCTGAACACAGGCACAAACAACAGACACTGAGGGGTGTTTTAGGGGCACAGCCAGGTACTCTACGTCAAAATGATCCTCACAATATCTACAACAGCTCAGAGCATGAACGGAGGCTGAAAATATGGTACCTATTTCCCTCCCTCCCAGAGGAGACCTCTGTAGAATCACAGGGAAAATGCTAGCTTTTCTCTCCATCAGGCTAGCAGGCCTGGTCAAAACTCCCTATGCTGTCATGACCTTCTCATCAGTCCTGGAAGAGGACAGCAGCCCTACGAGAGAGGAAAGGAGGCAAAGGAAGATTTGAAAACAGTTCTAACTACCCGCCACATTTAGCTCCTTTAACATCATGGTGCTGCCAGCTCAGGTAGCACAGTTTGGTCCGACAGCAGGGGGTCCCATTTCAATGTAATGATTTGCCTTCAGGGTTAGTAAGACATTTGCTTTATCTCCAATGAGATCTGCCTAATGAGGGACAATTTTTCTTGGCATGAAAGGACTGTTTTGGATGAGCCTACAGAAATGCACATTTCTCAGATAAAGCCAAGGAACATGTAGCGCAACAGAGCATGGGGGTGACCCCCTTCTGGACTGACTCTTCTCACAGAGGGCCCCCCTGCCTCCACAACACCGAGATATATATTTACATGCATTTTAACAAGGCTGCTAAATGTGAGAAGTTATTGATGGAAATGTAACTATTTAGAAAATTCTGACACCCATGAAAAATACTTTGTAGCACTCCAGCTGTGCATTCACAAAGATGTGCAAATTCTCAAATGACCATAATAGTCTACAAAAAAAGTCAAAAAAAAAAATCATAGTGACATTTTCTTTTCTGTTGCAAAACCCATATATTTTTGATTCTTTAGCATGTGAACAGTCTAAATGATTTTTGTTATGTACTGACAGAAAATAGAGAAAGCTCCTTTAGCTAAATGTTTATGGCAGGAGGGGAAGGCAAAATATGCCTTATTCTGAAACACCAATTGCAAGCAGGGCTGGTCAAAAATTGATAGGCATTTTCCATACAAAAAGTTCTAATCAAATGAAAAATTGTCATTTGCTTTGAAACATTTATAGGTTTTTTCAGTGAAACAATAACTTAATGGACAATTTTCATTTTGAATCATGACTTTTCATTGAAAAAAGTCAACAAAAAGTTTTCAAGCAGCTATGGTTATCACCTCTTGGTCCAGAGGGAAAGGGGGAGGAAAATAATAGAAAGGGAGACTCCAAGGCAGATATATCTCCCCCAAAATGATGATCTAATATCCATGACTTTGGATAACTTTTCTAAATAGACAGATGTATCAAACCAAACCAGCCTCTTTCGCAGGGCAATTGCAGTGTCTATCGCAATCCATCTTTTGGCTCTCTGGAGATGTATTTTCTAAGCTGACTGCCTTTTTCCATAGGTATTTGATTAAAATGAATTAATTCTTCATCATCTCTGTCTGCCTCCTTCCCCTCCTGGGTGTGGGTGTGTGGCAGTCTCCTGTAGAGGCGAGTAAAGCAGGTGGCATACTTACGATTTAGTCTCATCGGCTTCTTTCTGCATGATATCAAGGATCATGCGGCATGCCTCCGAGCACCCTTCTGGGGTGGCATGGATGGTGATTGGCTTCTCTGCAGCACCAGCATTCTCCTTACGATGGATGTCTACCCTACAGCGAGAGAAGCAGCACAGAGAAAGCACTGTGCATCAGGTTGATGTTGTCAAGAAGCATTTTAACAAAGCATAAAAAGCAAAGCCATCTCTTTGTTTTACAATCTGAAAGTAACCATAAACCAGGAATTCACCATTATGCAGCTGAAGCCAGCTCAGCATCAATTCCCCCTGAAGGTGGTATCAGGCAGCTGGAACAGGGACTTGTCCCTATAGTTTTGCAAGACCATGAAACCCTCACCAGACACGCTCAGCAGTCAGGAAAGGCTGGTTTCAAGGCCTGCTAAACCTCTGGAATGAACCTGGCCCATGTTCTGGGTGACTAGTGGCTCTGCTCTGAGCAAACCTAAAGCAGTTTATAACAAACATATGGTTTCAAGAGGCTTTGGCATCAAAGCAATTTCAGTTCAGGTTCTGCCCAAGTTTGTCTTCCAGATCTGGGTTCATTTGCCCTGGGGCATCAAAGCAAATGATTGAGGGGAAGGAGCTGCACCAATGCAGGTCAGACCAGAATACATTCTGCAGAAACAAAGGAGAGATTCCCTTCTCCCCACTGACTGGCATTATTGCTGGCTTTTGCATCCACAGCCACAACATGGTAGGACTTCCCCGTTCTGCTGCCCAAGAGCAGGGAGGGTACCTTTACAGCTGCTACTTAAAACCTCTCTTTCCAACAGTACAAGCGATAGGTTAAAAACAAATAGATTCATTAGGAATTAGTAAAATGCAGGACATCCTCCCTCTGTAAATTACAACACCAAGCATCATGCGGGGGAATGTTCATGTTTAGACAACTTAAACACTACACACAAAGAAAAGGATCTGGCCTGTGGTTTTCTATAAGCTTTTGTATGCTTCAAGGCACTTGGAGTTTAATAAGAGCTTTCACCCTTCACATACCAGCTCCTCTTTCAGTAGAGCTTGAATCCTAGGTTTACAGTTCTGACATCCATTGCCATGGATGGTCTTGATGCCACAGACACAAAATGACTTCCCACAATGGAACAGGCTAGCCTAGATATCCTCCAGGAGCAGATGAAATTGAGTGTTCTCCAAAAGAAGACCCAGTACCCCAAAATGCCCCTGGCCAATTAAGCAATTCATTAATTATTTCTCACTTGCTCAGACTAGAGATCTGTTTTCTGAGCAGCAGAACCATTTGATCTGGGGCTGGGGCAGACCTATGAAGAAGGGTGCAGCAGGTATCTCCCTCCTCCGTATGTAGCTCAACTCTGCTGGCCAGTGTGTGGGAGCCACCTCGTGCCATTCCACCTTCAAGAACAAGAGGCTGGATCCTGCTCTTGGTATGGGGAGGGGGAGCTTGTCCCAGCCCTCACAAGGTTTAAATAACTTAGCAGCAGCTGAGATATTTGTCTTGTAAACAGGATCACCTCTTTTCCAGGATCCCAATATGATCACTAACTTACAAAATACCTGCAGTAAACTGGACAACTCAACTATACGACTGCAGGTTGGGTTAGTGTGGGGACCCTAGTGGATCCGGTACTGGCATCTGCTGATATGACTGCCAGGCTAACACTATCAGGGTTACTGATAGTCAGTAGACTTCAGAGTCCACAAGAAATTTTGCCCCAGCTGGTGTCTTCTTGGGGTCTATTTCCTTTTGAAGCACGTCTCAGAAATGGGACACTCCACATGAACTATGTAGCTTGTTTCTATGTGAGAATGCCTGTGTCCTGGTACGATCATGTGAGAGATGACAATGGATTTGGGAGAACAAAGCTTTGGCTTAAACACTAACAGGCTTGGGAAACAACCAACATGGGATGAAAAAATGGGAAGGAAACCAGAGTTAAATACATTCACAAACATTAATGCGATACATTTGAAAGATATCGCCAGCAGGAAAACACTTCTTGAAAACAAAAGATTAGATCAAGGAAAAAAAGTGTCAAATCTGGATCAGAGCCTAGGAACTGCAACCTATTCACAGTACATCCATTTCAAGACAATGCACACTTGATCGAAAGCTGCCCTCCAGCACGCCTGTATCTCGTCTTGACGTGTGCCCTCTGTGCAAAAGGCCAGGTAGGCATTGCTCCTTGTTTCCAGGATTGCTGTTTTTTTTCAATACCTATGATTTCCTGGGTAGAGAACTGAGCTCTGATATCTCTCTGAGCCTCCCACATTTCCAAAGACATGCTGTGTGCTTGGTCACAGGATTGGTGAGATGGCACTTGCTCTGTGCTCCTCCCAGGGCTTTCGGTGTTCCTTAGAACCATTCAATGCTGCAAACTGTAGCATTCCACTTCTGGGTGTCAGCAGCATCTGGCTTTTTGGACTCTGCATTATCTTGGAAGTATCCCACATACATTTATCAGAGGCCTGGGCCCCAGTTACTGACCCATTTTGAGAAGGGACTCCAAATCACGTGGCCTCATGAGCTCATCTGAGCCAGGAGACAGTTTTTGATCAGACATGAATTAGATTTAAACTGCTGCATTTAGTCCCCTGCTAACTCACCGGTAGCAAAGGAGCTGCTCCACCCCAGGGTGGAGTTTGGGAATGGATGACACAGTCCATCCCCTGGTGGCAAAGGGACAGTAAGCATAAGGGGTGCCAGCTCAACACCTCTGAGAAGCAGGCTTCCTATTTCAGGGCCCAACTCCCCGAGCTGGAAGTTCTGGCTCAGATATGCTATAATTGCCAGTGGCCAAGCACTGTTCCTTCCCTGCTCCCTACCTTCCACTAATGCCTCCTACAAATAAAAACAAGACAAAACGCAATTGACCAAAAGTCACAAAAAATGAAACATTTTTTGTCGTACAGAATAATCTGTTCTGCATTGGACCCAGATATGAGGTATGCTGGGGACCTACAGGCTATACACGGAGTCCTGTGGAAGGAAACAAAACCATTCAAGGTACTTACTTGGACTGGGTTTGCTTAGTAAGATTCTTTATGGTCAAGCCCTCCTTTCCTATGATCGCACCAACAAACTGCGTGGGGACCAGCATCCGCAGTGGGAAATCGAGCTGTTTGGGCTGTGAGGAGCCCCCCGGGGAGGGGCCCTGCTCCCTGGAAGAGTGTCCCCCACGGCGGGATCGTTGAAGGGGCTGAGGGGAGCTCACCTCTTCATCCGGGATGTAGGAAATCTTGAAGGAATAGTTCTCAAACTGGTGGCCACTGAGCTTCTCAATTGCTCTGGAAAGCAGAGAAAGGAACCAGGTTGTTAGGCCGTGACCCAGCTGCAGAGCTCCAAAGTTGGGGTATCTTAGAATCATAGACAATGAGGGTGGGAAGGGAGCTCAGGAGGTCACATCTAGTCCAACCCCCCTGCTCAAAGCAGGACCAGCCCCAGTTAGATCATCCCAGCCAAGGCTTTGTCTGCTCAGGTCTTAAAAACCTTCAAGGATGGAGTTTGCACCACATCTCTGGGTAGCCTGTTCCAATGCCTTACTACCCTCCCAGTAAGAAAATTCTTCCTAATATCTAACCTCAACTTCACTTGCTACAACTTGAGCCCTTGCTCCTTGTTCTGTCATCTGCCACCACTGAGAACAGTCCAGCTCCATCCTCTTTTGAACCTCGCTTCAGGTAGTTGAAGAATGCTACCAAATCCACTGCTTTCCACAAAGCCAGTCATCTCATCCTAGAAAGCAACCAGGTTGGTCAGACATGACTTGCTCTTGGTGAATCCATGCCAACTGTTCCTAGTCACCTTCTCCTCCAAGTGCTTAGAAATGGATTCCTTCAGGAACTGCTCCAAGATTTTTCCAGGGACTGAGGGGAGGCTGACTAATCTATAGTTCCCTGGATCCTCTTTTTCCCTTTTTTAAATATGGGCACTATGTTTGCCCTTTTCCAATCATCAGGGAACTCTCCTGATAGCCATGAGTTTTGAGAGATGATAGCCAGTGGCTCTGCAATCATGTCAGCCAACTCTGAGCACCCTTGGGTACATCCCGTCTGGCCCCATGGACTTGTATACATTCAGCTTTTCTAAATAGTTCCTAGCCTATTCTTTCACCACAGTTGCCTGCTCACCTCCTCCCCAAACTGTGCTGACAAATACAAAAATCTGGGAGCTGACCTTGCCTGTGAAGACCGAGGTGAAAAAGGCATTGAGCACTTCAGCCTTTTCTGCATCCTCTGTCACAAGGTTGCCTCCCCCATTCAGTAAGGGACCCACACTTTCCCTGCTCCTCCTCTTGTTACTGACATACACTTCTTTTGTTACCCTGCCCGTCCCCTGCTAGCTGCAACTCCAATTGCACTTTGGCCTTCCTGACTTCATCCCTGGATGCCCAAGCAATGCTCTTTATACTCTTCTCCAGAAAAGGAACCATTTAGCTGACCAGGCCACAGTGGCTGACCCCTGCTCCCAACTCCCTCTCCATCCAGCCTGCCAAATCAGACATCTGCTCACGGATACCCACATGCTCAGTCCTAACCCAGTCCATGCTGTTCCTTTAAAATCACAGATGGCCCTAAATTGAGACCTAATATCTCCCACCCCTCTGGCCTTAACCTCTCTTGGGAAAAGTAATTCAGAGACATCTGAATGCCTCAGGTAAAAACAGTATGTCCTGAGGTGTGTGGTGCCCTCTATGAGCCACATACAGATGTTTACAGACCTGGACTCATCTTGGCTACCAGAATTGGCCCTCTTAGCTGTGTTGCTGAGTCCTAGGTTCAAGCCCTGCTGTCGGAGATCCACCCACCCACTCAGCGCTCTCACTAGATGCCCAAAAAGGTGGCTCTGCAGCTCATGACAAACTTCCTTGGCCAGGAGGCTTGCATACCCCATATCCGGGCACTGCATACTCTAGTCCCCCGTAGTTGGGGCTGGACATGGACACTGCGGCTTGGGCTAGCTGATGCTTGGTGTAGACAAAGTCAGTGGAGCTGGACAAAGGGGGCACTGGCCTGGATTCTGACTCAGTAGCTTGCTCTTCGCCCCCACCAGGACTATACCTTCTTAATCAGCAGGGGCTCCAGGGCACCCACCACTGAGGGAGAGGCTGGAACACAGCAGCAGGAGGAGAACCCCCTGAGACATAACTGTCAGAAGAAAGAAGGGTGGCTCCTGGGACCAGATGGAGCACACAGAAGTCAGACTCCTGCTCCATCTCTACCCTTGGTGGCTGTACCCCCAACCAAATGCTGCATCCTCAAAAGTACCCTGGGAAATTCAATATGCATTGGCAACATGCCCCTGGAAATGAAGCATGCCCCATCCTCCCCTGCAGAGTCACAGGGGCCAGCTGTGCTGTCCCCACACAGCCTTGCACCTTCCATCATGAAACCCTGCTGGACTGTAGCAGTGAGGATGCTGTGGACCAGAAGGACGTTAGAGAAGGGCATTGTTTTATAGTGAACTGGATGCCTCCCTCAGCTGCAACCTCTCTGAGCAAACTAGGTGAGAAGTGTGTTCACTCTCACCTACCTTGTTCTGAGAATCCAGTTACATCCTGCTAATAATGATCTTGCATGGGCTGCTCCATGGCTCCTGCTCAGAGGTGGTGGGGGGCTTCTGAACATCTCAAGCACAGAGACAAATTCCTCTCCTCTGGACAGGCAGCAGCAGCCCTCCCCTATCTGCAGGAGAAAGGATGGGACCAGACCACCACAGGCTGGGGTTTGCTAGAGTGGATTATTTTGGAGCTGTTTTACCCCCTTGCTTCATCTGGATCCATTGACAATGACTACAGCATTTTCCCAAAATCAAATGGATGGGAGCACGTTGGAGAAGATAGCTAAAGGCACAGCTTGGACAACCTTGCTATTTAAAGCAAAGGAGAAACATGTAGAGACCTAGCTGAGCATTCTTTGACAATATCAAATCTGCAGCATCCGTTAGAGCACAGTTTTAATACAGGAAAGCACTGGGGAAAGGGGACAGCTTCTTAAGAAAAACAGTTGGTGAATGAAACTGCAGAGGCTGCGGAGGCAGGGAGCTGTTTTCCAGCCGCACCAGTAGGAAGGGAGTTGTGAACGGAGGCGATGGTGCTGACAGAGCTGAGGGCAAAGGAGGAGCCTATTGGAAAGCGAGGGAGCAGCCAGCCAGCCTGCACTGTGGGCAGCAGGTGGAAGCACATGGAACCAAGCTGGGAAGGACGCGATCCTGCTGGGTTATAAGGCTCCTGAGATAGTCTTTTTTTTTTTTTTTTAAGGAGCAGTGATTTCGGGGGACTGCTGACACAGAACAGCTTCTGTATGTGAATCTCACCTCCAAAGGTCCCAGCTCTGACCCCTGCTCTCACCCTCCTCAGGACCTGATGCCACAAGCAGCCCTTTGGTTTTCAAAGGTGCTACTCATGGAGTAAAGGGCTAAGCAGTGCAAGTAAGAGTAGCAGAATCATGCCCTAAGTTAAAGTCACTCAGTATACATGACCTAACCACTCCTTGGGGTTAACGGACTTAAGCTATTAAAAAAAAAAAAGACAGAAATCAAGACGTTCTGTCAGGTTCTTCCAATAGACTTAATCGGAGACTAAAGATGGAGCTTTTCTGACTCTTATGGAGAATATCTATGTATCAAACAATGCTCTGGTACATTACATGCAGCAAGTAAAGGCGGAAAAGGATCTTGGAGTCATTATTGACTCCAAGATGAACATGAGCCACCAATGCCAGACAGCAGCCAGCAAGGCCAGCCATACCTTGTCATGCATCCAAAGATGCATCTCAAGCCGGTCCAGAGAGGTGATCCTCCCCCTCTATGTGACTTTGGTCAGGCCGCAGTTGGAGTACTGCGTCCAGTACTGGGCGCCGCACTTCAAAAAGGATGTGGCCAGCCTGGAGAGGGTTCAGAGGAGGGCCACCTGCTTGGTGAGAGGGCAGCAGGACAGGCCCTATAAGGAAAGACTGAGAGACCCGAACACATTCAGCCTCAGCAAGAGGAGGCTGAGGGGGGACCTGGTGGCTGCCTACAAACTCATCAGGGGAGATCAACAGCAAATAGGTAGAGCCCTTTTCTCCCCAGCGCCACCTCGGATGACAAGGAACAATGGTAATAAGCTGATGGAGAATAGGTTTAGGTTAGAGACCAGAAGGCATTTTTTTTACAGTTAGGGTGGCCAAAATCTGGAACCAACTTCCCAGGGAAGTGGTCCTCTCCCCTACCTTGGGCAAATTCAAGAGGAGGTTGGACGATCACCTATCTGGGGTCTTGTGAACCCAGCATTCATTCCTGCCTGTGGCAGGGGGGGGGGGGGGGGGGCGGCGTCAGGGTCCGTCCTGC